TGGGCGTTAAGTTACTACTGAGGGCCAGCAGTAGAATTTGATTCTAGATTTGTCTGACCCTAGAGTTCCAAGCTTCTAATGACTAAAAAGAATTTTGGTGAAAAAAGTTAAATTGAAGTGTGTTCCTTCGTTATAGCTTATTTCTGCCATAGACCCTCCAAACAGCTGGTTAGGAAAAAATGAGGTAACTACATTATTGAGAACTTGACTTAATATCTATCTATGCATAGTTGACCAAGGGAACATTATTAATTACAAGCTAAGCAAATGAGATACATATTAACAGTAATTTAAAAACATTTAAAAATTAGTATTTGTATTGTCTTAATCACTAAAGATATTATAGTATATTTTATCAATAATCTCCAAAGATAAATTTTATTTATTTATTTTTAAAATATATTTTTATTGATTTCAGAAAGGGAGAGGGAGATAGAAACATCAATGATGAGAGAGAACCATTGATCGGCTGCCTCCTGCACACTCCACACTGGGGATCGAGCCTGCAACCTGAGTGTGTGCCCTGGCTGGGAATCAAACCATGACCTCCTGGTTCATAGGTCAATGCTCAACCACTGAGCCACACCGGCTGGGCTGAAGATAACTTTTACATTCAGTTAAAAATAAATTATATATGTACTTAGGGAAATTTTCAGGCCATCAGATTTTATTTTCTCACTACAATCCTTTTATAATCCATCTCTACAGCTAAAACTGAATACACACAATGACAGGCTTTTCAATTAATTTTCACTCATATTGTGATAGCAAATAAACCCTCAGTAAATCGTCTTTGATGGAGCAATATGAGATTTTGTCATAAAAGGAAAGAAAAAAATGAGCTGGTTCACAATCAATTTCAGTTAAATCAACATTGTAATCTGTAAAAACAGTATTTTGTGATACTCATATTTCCATAACTCAATTCAAAGTTTATCCATTCAACATGTCTACAAAGCACATTACCCAAACATTAACTATTTTTCAGATAATCTACCACCATATGGACAGGTGGGCCTTCCTTGCTTTGGCAGGAGTTCAAAGTTTCTAGGTTTGGTGGTGAAATAACTATTTACCCTGATAAGAGCTCTTGCTGTATTTCAGTGGCTGGACCACCATATGGAACTGATTTCAAAATAGAAAGATTAAAAGAGCTTACTCTTCTGTTGACACATTTTCATTGATTCATCTAAATTTACCTCCTAAGTCTGAAATTTTCCCATTTTTTATGGTGACAGTCTTCTCCCAACGTCTCAAGGGAAACTTTTATTCTCTATGCCACATCAACAGATATGACCAACTAACTTCAATCTTTGTTCCAGAATGATATATATTTTAATATTGATCATTTACTTACACCTTAGCCCTCACCCTGCATTCTATCAAAGACTGTGACTATTAAAGCTACAATCTATATTAATAAAAGGCCTGTGGTCGTCATGCTGTAATGCCGTCACCATCAGACGAGCAATGGCTCTAGCTGTGGGCGGAGCAGAGCGCAAGCTACTAGCAGCAGAGAGCTACTAGCGGAGGAGAGCTACCAGTGGCAGAGGGCAGGGCGGCCAGCTGAGGCAAGCTGAAGGAGCTTCTCACGCATGATTTCGTGTGCACTGGGCCTCTAGTATTGACTATAAGGAATGTGGCATATTGCTCTTACAAAGGCAAGGATGCAAATAAAATCTGGCTTTAATCATCACTGAGGGACTCAATTGCTCTGAGCTCCACACTGGGGCAGCAGCTTGAAAGGTACATACAGGGAAGAACTGAACTGTCTGATACCAGGCGGAGAGCTGGGGTGAAGCGTTCACCCATACAGAAGTGCTACCAGAGGCCACTGTTCCTTTTCTGAGCCCTTTCCCCATAGAGCAGGCAGGCGGGTGCCATGTCTGAGTCGTCCCCATCAACCTGGCTATCACTGTTTGCCCTCCCCTGGTGATTCCCTGAGACCCTGCCTCTCCCAACTTGCAGGCCCACCCAAGATGCTTCCAGTGGCTTTTCTATATGAGTGGCCTGTCTTGGCTCATGCTTCAGACTTTACTAAAATCTCTCAAACAGCATCTGGCCTTGGCGAGCCCATACCTCTCACTAAGTGACCCCAGGCCCGACACAAGCGCCAGCTGGCATTTGTTTGCAGCTTGGCCTCTGCTAGGCACCTACACTGGTAAGCCCAGCACAAGTAGCAGCCATCTGCAGATCACTTTGTAACTCATGCTGGGTAGCCCGAGGCAAGGCACAGGTGCTGACCTTGGTCTGCACCTACTAGGAAGCTCCAGATCCAGCTCACCAAGTGGACCATGTTTCAGACCGTGTCGAAGCACCACCCAAACACCTCCACAAGTGACACACTCAAAAGGCAAACTCAGCAGATACCAGAGCCCCTCTGAAGTAAGTCCTGCTCCCTGTGGTTGGTCCCTGCACAGCTGATCCTCCATGGTGGTCTCAGTCAGTTTTTGCAGCTGAGTGGCCTGGGGATAAATCCCTCCATTAACATGCCAACAGTAATCAAGTCTCAACCACAATAGGAGTATACACAGCCCATGCAGGGAGGGGGCACCTGAGGGCCCAGCTCAGGTGAATAGATGTCTTGGACTCTGACATCTACTACATTCGGCCACTTTACCAAGCTTGGGAGAGGCAGCAGGCCTGCATAATACATAAAACAAACACAGGGAGGCTGCCAAAATGAGGAGAAAGAGAAACATGTCCCAAATGAAAGAACAGAGCAAGACATTAAAAACCTATTTGAAAAAATAATGACAGAAGACTTTCCTAAACTGGTGAAGAAAATAAACATACAAGCCCAGAAAGTGCAGAGTCCCAAACAAGACAAATCATGATTAAAATGCAAAAGATTAAAGACAAAGAGAGAATCTTTTTTCATAAAGTGATGCATTTATTTTATTCAGCAAATCCCAGGGATTATAGGCAAACTATTTTATGTAAATTCATCAACCTAAATAAAATTCTAGACAAATTTAAAAATAAAATCTTGAAAGAAGAAAAAAAAATACACACGCCAAAAATTACAATATTAGCCCTGACCGGTTTGGCTCAGTGGATAGAGCGTCGGCCTGTGGACTGAGAGGTCCCAGGTTCGATTCTGGTCAAGGGCATGTACCTTGGTTGCGGGAGGTGTGCAGGAGGCAGCTGATCGATGTTTCTCTCTCAACAATGTTTCTAACTCTCTATCCCTCTCCCTTCCTCTCTGTAAAAAATCAATAAAATATATTAAAAAATTACAATATTAGGTAAAGAGCCAAGTGATTTGCAGATCTGGTGTTGCTCTATACAATTACTAGTCACCTAGGGGAGGTGGGCGGGCGCCATTTTCCATTTCCACCACTATACACAGTTCTCCACTTGCTGAATGCTCAGTTTTTCATACAGGGTCTCTTCCTTCAGTCTTTTGTATTTTGATTGTTATGTAAAACTTGCTTTTATTTTAATATTGAGATCAGGATTTCAACTGCTGTAAAATTATAAACTTTTATACTTCTATCAGTCCCTGAGGAGCTAGTTCCCTTTGCTCACGGGTGCAGGCATGCTTCCCACTGGCAGAGCTACACGTACCCTCCAGCTGGCTGTCTGAAAAAGAAACCAGCCTGTCCCCTTCCCTCACACCTCTGTCCTCTCCACAGAATCTGGGTTGTGTTGCTGTGATCCTCAGATCCAAAGTCAACCAGCCTCTTGTTTCCGCATCACTTCCTTTGTGTTTATATGGCATTTTGTCAGTGTTGCTGTTTAGAATAAATAAACTATTTACATAAAGGAAAAAAAAGAGCCAAGTGATTGTCTTACTAGAGGCCTGGTGCATGAATTCGTGTACAGGTGGGGTCTGGCCGGACCTCCCCGATCGGGGCCAATCAGGCCGGCCGGGGGGAAGGGCTGTGGGCAGTTGGCTGGCCAGCCCCGTCCCCTGGTCAAACTCCCTGTTGAACTCCCTGTAGAGGGGACAATTTGCATATTAGCCTTTTATTATATAGGATAACAGAGCAAACAAAATCACTGAAAACTTTTAAGCAGAACTGAGTTAGAGATATGTGTTGTAATAAAAGTGGTAATGAATTCAGACTTATTGTAAGTTACAAGGCTAATAGCAGAATATTTAAACATATTCTCGCCATGGAGCCTGGAGGTGGGGATAATTAGGGGTCACCTTGGAAGCTGGTTACCAATGCATATGCCTGTGTGTGTGTGTGTGTTGTGTGTGTGTGTGTGTGTGTGTGTGTGTGTGTGTGTGTTACATCAAGTGTTAAAATTGCTCTCTGGATGATTTGATTCATCAAAGTATAAAAAGATAGATTTAACAATTGTATTTGAGCATTGGTCTTTCTTCGAATTGTGTTCTTTGTATCAAATGAGCATCACAAATGATTTAAGCAGAAGAAATTAAAATTACAGTTAAAAAGCACATCAAAATTATCATAAAATACACATATATGCATTAAAAAATCCAGACTGAGAAAGTAATCAAGCTGGGTTTGAGTGTAGTAAGTGCCACTTTTTTTTAAATTTTTATTGATATGAGAGAGGAAGGGAGAGGGAGAGAGAGATAGAAACATCAATGATGAAAGAGAATCATTGATTGGCTGCTTCCTGCACACCCCCTACTGGGGATTGAGCCTGCAACCCAGGCATGTGCCCTTGACTGGAATGGAACCTGGGACCCTTCAGTCTGCAGGCCGACACTCTATCCACTGAGCCAAACCGACTAGAGCAGTGCCACTTTTAATAGTAAATTCACTGCTGCAATATTTAAGAAAATTCATTTGAAGAAGTGAATTTTAAGTAAATTCATTCTAAGGCAAGCTAATAAGTTTGTCACTGAAAAAATATCAGGTAGTATATTCAGATGAGCAGTTCTTAGTTGATCTCTAGGAAAAAATTGAAAATGAAAATAGTATGATTTCTCTCAAGAATTTTAGAACTCACCAAATGCAACAAAAGGCTTTATGAGATGACATCATGTAGGAAATAAATACAAATTATGCTTATAAAAATTATGTTCACTTGTTTGGGGTATTAGTTTATTTAGCATATTTGTTCATATGTTGATCAAGGTAATTTTTGTGATGGTAGTTTAATACAAAGCAAATAAAAATATTTTATTTCTCCTTGTATGAAAGAATTATAAGAAAGACACTCAAGGGCAATTTCCCACTGACTTGTATTACAGGTTTTTAATACTAAAATCCATTGTTATTTAATGCTTTAGAGCAGGAGGCAGCAAACTTTTTCTGTAAAGAACCAGGCAACAAATATTTTTAGCTTTTCTGGCTCTATGGCCTTTGTCACAACTATTCAATTCCACCATTGTAACATGAAAACAACCATCAACAACACCTAAACAAATGAACGAGACTCTCTATAATAATAAAATCGTAATATGCTAATTAGACCGGACAGCTGAATGACCTTCCGGATGACCTTCCAGACAAAGCCCGGGGCTGTGGCTGTGAGGGCCGAGCCCCTTGCACGAATTTCGTGTATGGGGCCTCTAGTATTCAATAAAAGTTTAGCTATGGAGAATAAAATTGGAATTTCACATAATAATCATGTGTCACAAAATAGTCTTCTTCTTTTGATTTTATTTTTCAACCATTTAGAAACATAAAAACCTTTCATAGCTCACAGGCCACACAAAAACAGGTAGCAGGTCAGATTTGGTAAATGTCTGCACTAGCACCACCCTATTAATATGCTTATGGGCTGACAAGATAAGCAGTAAATAAGCAGTAAGTCACCAATGAAAAACAAAAACATGAAGGCCCACTAGATGTAAGCTCAGCTGCCTTCTGGGATACTTCAGTGCTAGACACCAGGTCAAAGACAATTAGCTGATGTTGAATTCATTAATTTTCTCATTGAAATATGCAGGGTGGCTGAACCATTGAAAACTATATGCACTCAAAACAATCTCACCAAAAAAAACTAAAAGGTCGGTATAACTGTTATCCTCATTTTATAGAATTTACCTTTCTAAAATGCTGTCATTATATATCTGATCTATATGGTCTGGAATGGATTGGGGGGGGGGGCAGGTATCTAAATATATATATTTGGTATACCAGACCCATCTTTTTTCATCCATCCATGCATCCATCCATCATTTTTTAAATTATTCAAGATAAAATAAAGAAAATGTAAAAATTCTACCAACTTAATGAGTATAGTATAGGTGTTATAACTATGAGCATTATTGTTAGTGTGTATGCCATGAAGTCTGATGAAGCATTGGATTTGTGGTCCTTCTCATACACCCTCCCAAACAGAGTTACTGTTAAGACAGGTCCAGATGGTGGCTTCAGGCTCAGCAAGCGTCCATCACTCAACACCTAATTAAAACACAAAGAAGTTGACTGGGTCTAACTTTAAGTTATACAACCCACAACACACTTTTAAAATTCAGTACAACTGGACAAGGGAACAATAAATATAATGGCCAGATTCTGTTCTATCAGAAATATTTGAAATGATACAGAAGAAAAGTTGGAGCCATGGAACTGGCACTGATTCATTTATTATTGAAATGCCTGTAATTTATTTACCTCAGAAAACATCCCATAAGGTAGTAGACATAAAACAGTGGATTTGGGAATATATAAGAGAAATCTAGTTCTCTCAGACAAGATAAAGACTCTGTGAAGGATTAGAAGGGATTGACTGACTGAGGGATTTCAGCTGAATCTCTATCAAGCCTGTCAATCACTCACCACAACTCCCTAACCTGCCCATTTTCCCCAACTCCCCACAGTAGCTGTTTCTACCAGGAGAAAGGAGTGAGAACAGAACTTGCAGGAAAAGCCAGTAGAAAAATGGGGCTGGGCAGAGTGCTTGGGCAATATGGATTATTTCTAGCCTCTAAAAACACATTTAAAAAAAACGACTCTTTACTTTCTTACCAACATCAGCCACTGAAATTCTCTCTCCTTGGCTTTTCATTCTTTCCTTTTCTCCTATGATCACATGGAACCTTCACCCACATCATGAGAGGGATTCCTTTTAACGACCCTAGGCCATCGCTGCTCAGTGATGCCAAGGGGCTTTTTTCTGGTGGGATTAGTCCTGAAACTCTTCATATCTTCCTTCTACCTTACACAGCCCAGCCTTGTCCCTACAGTTCCCACAACAGTATGTTTCTTTAATCTTAAGAACACACTAATTATTATATTAAGGCTTTCCAGATGAAAAATGCAACCTGGCCGCTGTGGCTCAGTGGTTGAGCATCGACCTATGAACCATGAGGTCATGGATTGATTCCCAGTCAGGGCACATGCCCTGGTTGCGGGCTCAATCCCCAGTGTGAGGTGAGCCTATCAATGAATCTCTCTCACCATTGATGTTTTTATCTCTCTCTCCCTCTCCCTTCCTCTTTGAAATCAATAAAAAAAATTTTTTTTTAAATACAGCCTGCTCAGTGTCTTTCCTTAGCCCTAAGGACAATTTTACCCTTTTCAAATAGAGATTTTTATGATTGTAAGCACTTGGATAGATTTTGTACTCAAAAAGTGCTTCCTCTTACATGAAATGAGTTGTCAATATTAAGCAAAGATTCTTACCTGAAATTCTCCAGGTGCAAGCTGAATTTCACTCAGCAGCACCTCAGGAAAGACATACTGGGTTCCAAACGTGCCACTGAGGGAGAACATTTCAAACCTGGTGGAAGCAGTTTCAACTGCGTGACCACAAGTGTGTAAGCTCGTTGTTTTACACTTCAGCAGAGTGCAAATCTAGAAAGTAAAGGCAAACCATGAATTCCTAGGCAAGCCAATAGAAACACTCTCCTGACCCTGAAAAAAATGCCCGGGTTCCTTTGTTTGCAAAAATAATATTATTTCCTCAATTGATTAATCCAGTTCATTGCTGAATAGCTAATACAACTAGCAATGGAAAAAAAAAAGGGGGATGTCTTCTTTTGAAGTTAAACAGAAAGCATTTAGGGCAAGTGTGTTAAGATGGGATACAAATAACTTTCTGATAAAGGTAGAATACATGCTTCTTTTTGTTCCCTTGAAATCCTATTAAAACTAACATTAATGTTTTTAAGATATAAGTCTAGAAGGATAGGGGTCCAGGAGGATAGACCATGGCACAATTTTAGAAGCAGGGATGTTAATGCCAAAGTCATAACTGAGTTAGCTGATCTAAGAATGCCAAGTCCTAAATTGGTAGTGAGGAAAGCCAAGAATCAACCCTGACTACATGCAGAATACTGCGGAGATTCCACTCCTGCTGCCTCGGTACCTCAGGAGCTGTTAAAGATGTGGTGGCTGAAGTAAGGAAAATTGGTGGGAAGTTGTTAAAGGTACCACGGATGGGCCTGCCCCTCCCCTATTCCAGTGAAAGACGGGCATTTATTTTCAGAGCGGGTAACGCAGATGACCTTTAGATGGAGGTTTTAAATGACGTGGTTGAAAGGGATTGCATGAATTAACCATGCGAAATGTTGGGATCATCGGACTTTACCACAATCCCACCCTGTGAGGTCATTTCTCCCACTTGACTAAGTACTGCCAGCAAGGCATTTACCCTTCAGGAATACAGGCGCTAGACAGGAGTTCCAGTTAAATTAATTGCAGATAAGTTAAAAATAGTAAAAATAGTTTTTAACATGAGAATGTCCCAAATATCACAAGGGACATACTTACATTTTAAAAAACAGATTCCTGCCCTAACCGGTTTGGCTCAGTGGATAGAGCATTGGCCTGCGGGCTGAAGAGTCCCAGGTTCAATTCCAGTCAAGGGCACGTACCTTGGTTGCGGGCACATCCCCAGTAGGGAGTGTGCAGGAGGCAGCTGATCGATGTTTCTCTCTCATCGATGTTTCTGACTCTCTATCCCTCTCCCTTCCTCTCTGTAAAAAATCAATAAAATATCTTTAAAAAAACAACAACAGATTCCTTGCTTACCTGAACTTTACATTTACTTGGTCATCCTGCGTTAGAAGGGTTTTAAAGCTTGAAAAACCTGACCAACCCAGGAGGAAGTCTCTACAGATACTCAGCTGAGGGATTCCCCTCACCAAAGGCTGAGTTAAATCACCCTACTGTGCAGCTTGGAAAGGCAAGGATTACCCACGTGCTCAGAACTTTCAGTCAGTTTTCGGTAATCCTAACGTGTCACCCTATATCTGAAAAAACTACTAAATTGAGAATTTTAAATTCCAAAACCTGTCAGGCACCAGTGGTTTTGTCAAGGGCACACGGCCCAGCAAAATAACAGAGGCCTTTGTTTACTTGACAGTCCTCACACCGAGAAGGGACTTACCACTGCTCTCTCCAGTGGAGCCAAGACTCTGGGGGAGAGAGAAAGGCAGGACAAGATTGAGGGGGAAAGGAAGAGAGAGAGAGAGAGAGAGAGAGAGAGAAAGAAAGAGAGAGAGAAAGCCAATAGATGGCTATCTTGTTTTATAACCAACTTAAAAAATCTATCACAAAAAAGAAACAATTATATCTCATAAGTTTTGAACTTGAAAAATATGGCAATGTAATATCATATATGTCCCATATGCATAGTGCAATTAATGTCAAAATGTCACAGAATATATGGTAATATTTATATGTCAATAAATTTTCTACAAAATAACTTGTTTAATTTTTAATTGTTGGGCATTTTCTCAATACCATTTTCCCTCCTTTCTCCAGTACCTTGGAACACTGATGTCCTACATTTTCAAACTTTTTTGTTGCTCTTTCCTTTAGACCTAATAATAATCAAGGTTCTCTCATCTTATGGAGAAACAAAGACCAAAAACAGAATTTGTGGCCAGTGTCTGTCTAGTTCTTGTCTCATTTCTCTTCCTCCTGTCTCAGACAAGGGTTTTGAAAAGGGCCCCACCAGCGTGGCTCAGTGGTTGAGCGTCAACCTATGAACCAGGAGGTCATGGCACATGCCTGGATTGCAGGCTTGATCCCCAGTAGGGGGCATGTAGGAGGGAGCCAATCAATGTTTCTATCTCTTTCTCCCTTCCTCTCTGAAATCAATTAAAATATATGTATTTTAAAAAAGAGTTTTGAAGAGGAAACCAGTCACTCATTCTTGCAAAATTTTTACTTCCCTTCAACTATTCAACCTACTGTAATCTGTCTTTCACTGTGTCATTATAAGCCTAGGAAATTCTACCAAAATTGCACTTATTTATGTCAGTAATGTTAAACATATTGCATTAACACACTTCACAATTTTCTCCTCCTAGGTCTCTACTTCCTTCCTGTCCATGATTGTTCTCTTTTTAAGTTTCCTTTATTTTTAAATCCTATTTGCAGGTCCTAATTCTCTATCCATTTTCTGCTCAAACACTGGAGCTCTGAAGGTTCCACCCCTAGACCAGGGTTCTTTACAGTCTATGTAGTCACCTTTTCACACCATTCACCCTTGTGGGTTTAACCAAGACCTTCATCCTGCTGATTCTCAAAACAATAGTTCTAAATACAGTGTCTCCCATAAGGATCAAACCCATATATTCAACAACCTCTGGATGGCCCCAGCTGAATGTACCTTAAGGACTCCAAAACCAGCACGGCCCAAGCAAAACTGAGCAGCGCCCACTGCTACCCAATCTGCTCCTCCTCATGCATTCTGTTCTGTCAGAGCATCACACTCAACCAGCCACTCTTGCCAGAACCTGGCACATTCTAGACCAGTGGTTCTCAACCTTCCTAATGTTTTCTGATGGTCTTAGGCGACTCCTGTGAAAGGGTCGTTCGACCCACAGGTTGAGAACCACTGCTCTAGGTTCTTCTTCCATCGGTCCTGACTTGTTAGGTTATGCCTTAGTAACACCAAACTGCTTGCTCTTCCTTGCATACCTTGTTCTCTCACAAATTCACACCCTTGATCATGCTCTCCACTCCACCTAGAGTTCCCTCCCACACTTTTTTACCTAGACATGAACAGATAACTTCAGTACAGACTGGCATCTGATAGAACAGAGAATGCACATTTTGCTGTAGAAATACTAAGGAGCTGTACTTAGCCTGATTTGGGGGTCCGGGGAAGATTCCTCATGAGGAGGGTCTAGACCAGCGGTTCTCAACCTGTGGGTCGCAACCCCTTTGGGGGTCGAACGACCCTTTCACAGGGGTCGCCTAAGACCATCGGAAAACACATATATAATTACATATTGTTTTTGTGATTAATCACTATGCTTTAATTATGTTCAATTTGTAACAATGGAAATACATCCTGCATATCAGATAATTACATTACAATTCATAACAGTAGCAAAATTACAGTTATGAAGTAGCAATGAAAATAATTTTATGGTTGGGGGTCACCACAACATGAGGAACTGTATTAAAGGGTCACGGCATTAGGAAGGTTGAGAACCACTGGTCTAGACTTATTCATCCTATATAATAAAAGGCTAATATGCAAATTGTCCCCTCGGGAGTTCAACTGCTCACTATAATGTGCACTGACCACCAGAAGGCATCATGGAATGAAGGAAGGCCCAGGCTGGCAGCCGGGGTAAGAAAGGTCCCAATCGGCCCTGATCGCCGGCCAGGCCTAGGGACCCTACCTGTGCATGAATTTCATGCACGGGGCCTCTAGTTTTCATATAATAAACACAGAATATATACCTGGTATGTAGTAGGCACTTGATAATTTTTTGTCAAAATGAACAAACACTGTAGAGTGCCTATCACACAGCAAACAAAATGTTAGACCATGGGGGCAGTTCCATCACTCAAAGGGCTTTCAGTCTCAGGATATTGCAATAATCTGGGCGAAAAAGGATTGGAGACCAGATCACGAATGATAAGACCCGAATGGGAAGAACAAGAAGTCTGATTTTTTTAGGAGTCCCATCACGTAAGACTATTATAGTTCCTGCTTCATAGCTGAATCTTTTCAGCAATAAACTATTTCACTGTACATCTCAGAGATCAACTTCATATGTCTCCAGGACATACTTACTGTTAAGCTGTATTCAACAAAATAGGCATTAGTGAACATATTGGGAAAATGGCTAACTTTGTTTAGGTAAGAAATATCTGACATTAATTACCCATTAAAATTGTCTCTAATGTGCCAAACCTGGTTTGGCTCAGTGGATAGAGTGTCAGCCTGCGGACTGAAAGGTCCCAGGTTCGATTCCGGTCAAGGGCATGTACCTGGGTTGTGGGCACATCCCCAGTAGGAGATGTGCAGGAGGCAGCTGATCGATGTTTCTCTCTCATCGATGTTTCTAACTCTCTATCTCTCTCCCTTCCTCTCTGTAAAAAAATCAATAAAATATATTTTTTTAAAAATTGTCTCTAATGTGACTATTATATCATTTCAAACAATGGTACTGCAAAATAAATGTTCTGCCTTTTTCCAACCAGTTTAATATTAGACTGACACTGACAATTGCAAGTTGGCAATGCTTAACTAAATTTGAATTTCAGACAAACAACAAAATTTTTAGTATACATATCCCCCAAAGTTGGACACACTTATACCAAAACCAATTCATTGTTTACCTGAAATTCAAATTGAACTGGGTATCTTATATTTTATCTGGTAACTCCACTGCCACCCAAATAAACATTACCTGTAAATGGTAGCTCCCTTCAACAGTATGTAGTCCATCAAATGCCCCTAGGGCATACACTTCATCTGCTCTCTTCTCAGACATCTTGTAGCTTAGATGACAGCAGAGATCTTTCTGACAAACTGTATAATTTCCTGTGACTCCTCTGAGCTCCAAGAAGGTGTATTCATCAAAAAAGACAGTGCCCTTAAACTCCTTGTTTCTCGTTGAGAATGCTTCTATTCCACTAGCATAAGAAGTCCAATTCACCACGACTGGGTGCTTTGGGTGGGAATCCAATCGTGAGAGAAGGAGTTTTCCCTTCTCTGTCTTCATATCATAATGAAATGCTCTTGGAGAATCAGGTGCATAGATGCCACTTCCTGGAAGCGATAAGTTGGAAATGACATTTGAAACAGAAAAGTGAAAATAATAACAGTTGTTATTATTTTAAACTCACATTAACATTTTACTTCCTCTAAGGTATATACTAGTATTTTTATTAACTTCAATGAAATATGCCAAGGACAACAGATGATAAAAATCCAATAGAGTCTGACACCAAGAAGCCAAGAAGAGTTGTCACATAAGAAGTGGTGAATTTGGGGGAAAAATGAAAAAGGGTGTTATTCAAGTTGAATAAAACTAAATAAATCTGAAAACAATTTATATGAAGATTAATTCTACAGCATGTCACCAGCTAGATACACAAAAATTAAGAGTTGAAAAACATTGTGTTAAGGAGTACATATTAGTTAGAAAAGAATTTTTTTTTTTTGCTTTTTGGATTCCATCAAGCTTGTAAATCTTAATAATTATACATTACCTGTCATTTTCTTTGAGGGGTGATGTATATTTGATGCAAGGAAATTGACCTTCATGCCCATAGCCCAAGCTGAGTGGAATTCAATAGCTGACAGATGTGGCAAAACATTCATCCACGCTGTGGGAAACAGAATGGTGTCCACATGGAAGTCTTTCACCAGGGCCACAGCAGGGTCGTGGAAGAGTATATCGAAGCATGTGAAAATGCCAAACCTTCCAAAGGTGGTGTCGAAAGTCACAACCTCAGGCTCCTTGGGTACATTGAATTGATCTTCACCCAAGAAAAGGTTTTGCTGCAATGAACAGAAGACGAAGACAGGGTAAATCTCTTTTTAGAAGTTGCTTGGATGTCACTGTGTCTGAAAAAGTACAAGTGCACATTGATTTGGCAGTGCTAATTTCATCTATGACCATCGGCTTCATAGGGAAAGAGTGCAGAACTTGAGATTACTATGGCTAATGGGAGCCTCTGGTTCAATCTCCACATTTTTAGATATGTACAAGGGAATCCTTATCTCTTAAGACCTTGAATCTTAAAATAGGTAGGAGTGAAATAGATAACGCATATTTGCCAAGAATGCATCTATTTTCTGAGGATAAAGGACTTTCTTTGCTTCCTTCTTGTTAAAACCAAGTCTATGTAAGTGGTTTTTCATTCTAGCCTTGAGCCATTGCCAAAGTATGTCTTTAAAAGGAGAAAGTCCAAAAGATGACATATATTTCAATGCAGGTAGGTCCTACTGATTCTCACACACTCCCAACAACACACTCCTGTGTTCCTAAATGCACACACACCTAATCTTTACTTTATCTGCTTTGTCTCTACTCAGCTTCTAAAGTATGCTTCTTATCAATAATAAGGATTTCCCCCTATTGTCCACTTTAATTTGTTATGCATTTAGTAACTATTTGCATTAAATTCTACCTTATGGTAGCGTGCCACCAGTTTTCCTTGAGAGTCAAACACCACATCAGTGTTGTACTGGTAACGGCCATCAGAAGGACACTGGGGGTCGCTGGCATTGCACGGCTTCTTGTCCCCGATATTTGCCACAACATAGATAGAGTTTTCCTTGGCCAGGCAGCTGAGTCTTTCTTGCACTGGGGTGTGGCCAAATCTGGTATGTGTTATTGGAAGAGGAAAACAAAAATCAAGCTTAGCTTTTAATAAAACTCAGGATGATAGCGGCCTGAACCTACTATGCAATATATATACACACACAAAAAATAAATTCTAAATGACATAGGTAGAAGGGAAAGATTAAAACAAAAAGAGACTTCATGCCAGCACCGGTTTGGCTCAGTGGATAGAGCGTCAGCCTGCGGACTGAAGGGTCCCGGGTTCGATTCCGGTCAAGGGCATGTACCTTGGTTGCGGGCACATCCCCTGTGGGACATGTGCAGGAGGCAGCTGATCAGTGTTTCTCTCTCATCGATGTTTCTAACTCTCTATCCCTCTCCCTTCCTCTCTGTAAAAAATCAATAAAATATATTTAAAAAAAAAAACAACAAAAAAACAAAAAGAGACTTCAGAGGAAGTAGATGCTTGTGGGAATTCATTTGTAGAAAACGATGCTAGAGTAACACTCCAGGCCATGTATTTTTTTCTTCATAGCATTTATCATCATTCATAATCATATATTCATTCATGTGTTAATCATATATTGTATGTTACATCTTATAGCTATTATGGGGCAAATGCACACTGAACCCATGCCTGACAGAAAACAGGCATTAAAAAAATATTTTGAATGAAAGAAGGTCAACTTAGAGCGAGGATTCTAGGAAGATGGCAAAGTTGGAAGCACCAAGAATCTATTCCTCTACTTAGATAACAATTGCAGAATCGGTCTGACATAATACTTCAGAACTCTGCAGTTTATTTGAAGGCTTGAAACTTCCAGGGGAAGGCTTTTAGGATAAATTGCAGTTAATTTCAGTCTATTTTAACACTGGTTCAGCAGTGACTACCCATGACCCATCTTTCCCCCAGCCCCCAGGGCAGGCAGCCATGAGGGTGTTCCCAGAGCACCTTGCAGGCAGCTTGTGGGAGCAAGGTGAGCAATAAGGCCCCTTTCCTCCAAATATTGGGAATCTGTGTTCTGAGCATCGATAACTGCTTCTGATCTCAGAGATGCAGACTCGGGGGCAGGCAGCCTTTGTTGCACCCCTCACGCATTGTTGCAAGTGACTTCTAGGGTATTTATATGGTCTTCCCCCCCCCCCCCTTTTGGGCACAGGACATTTAAGGACTAGGACATAAAAAAGCAATCGCATGTATAGGAGAATTTAGAAAGTCACCGTACATGCCCAGGGAAAGGCACAGGCTAACAAAAGACCTCAGAAGACCTTAAGTTACACCTCAAGCTTAGGCCCAGCACAGAAACAGCTTGTAACAATAAAAACAAACAAACAAGAGATACAAAACCCCGGGGAAGGAAGAAGTTTTGATTTCCAGTTATCACATTGTAAGATTCAAATGTCCACTTATCAAAAAAAAATCATAAGGCATACAAATAACCAGGAAAAATAAAGCACCAGATACCACCTTGGAGAAAGACCAAATGCCATACTTACTGGACACAAATTCTTCAATATGAGGTGTAGCAACAAAACTAACACATATTTCTTTTTCCCTATTCACAATTTCAGGGCTAGAAGGTTGGTTTTTGCCGTAGATCTCAGCAACCTTAGCATATGATTTATCTTTTCTTATGAAGATGAGACCTTTCACTTTTTAACTTAAAGGATGTACTTGATAGCTTCTTTTTATCATGTCCAAATTGCCAGCATCACTACTCTTGTGCTTTGGGGCCGTTAAGTAAAATAAGGGCTACCGGCACACAAGCACTGTGATACCGCATCAGTTGATCTGATAACAGATGGCTACTAAATGACTAATGGGTGGGTGTCCTGTACAGTGTGGATACACTGGACTCAGGGATGAATCACGTCCCAGATGGGAGAGTGGGACAGTGATAGATTTTACCACATTACTCAGAATAGCGCACAATTTAAAGCTTATGAATTGTTTATTTCTGCGATTTTCCACTTTCTATTTTTGGGCCACAGTTGACCACAGGTAGGTAACTGAAAACAGGAAATCAAAACCACAGATAAGGGAGGACTACTCTGTATACCACATTTTCTTAATCCATTTATTCGTTGATAGACACTTAAATTGCTTCCATGTCCCAGCTGTTGTGAATAATACTGCAATGAACATGGGAGTGCAGATATCTTTTCCAGATATCTTGGAAACTTCCTTTGGAAACACCCAGAAGTGATATTGCTGGATCACATGGTAGTCTTATTTTTTAAGTTTTTGAGGAACTGTTATGCTGCTTTCCATAGTGGCTGCACCAATTTACATTCCCACAAGGGTTTTTTCCCCCCATATTCTCTTAAGCGTTTGTTATCTTGTCCTTTTTTACAATAGCCATTTTACTAGATGTGAAGTGATATCTCAGTGTGGTATTGATTTACATTTCCCTGATGATCAGTGATGTTGAGCATCTTTTCACATATCTCTTGGCCATTTGTGTGTTTTCTTTGGAAAAGTGTCTGTTCAGCAGACTGATGAACTTCAGAGGGAAGGCAGGTTGGGTGGGTGGCAAGAGATCAACCAAAGAACTTATATGCATATATGCATAACCCATTGACACAGACAATAGTCTGGTAAAGGCCTGGCATCGGGGGAAGGAGTGGGCTAGAAGGGTGAATGGGGGCAAAAAGGGTACATCTGTATAACTTTCAACAATAAAGATAATTTCTTTTTTTTAAAAAAAAACTGTCTGTTTAGACCCTTTGCCTATTTGGAGTCATAAGGGATAGAACTCTGCACAAGAGGCTAAGAAACTTGTTCCAAATTTAATAGACAAGGAGTTACCATTAAATGCTTTGAGGACAAAAGTAACAGGATCTGAATTTTCTTTAATAGGACATCACAGTATAAAATGTACAAGAATGGTTAGAGACTAAGTGTAGGGAAGCCATTAGGAAGTTATTTCAATGGTTGAGATTAGAGACAACACGAGTTGGGCTAGAATGGTGCCAGCCAGTATGGAAAGTTGGGAATACAAGAACATTTGTTAATGCTTAATTTGTTTACTTTTATCATATTACCAGTTGTCCCAGAAAAGGAATTAAAATGCAATTTTGAAAAGTGAGATCTCAGAATATGTAATATCTATCCATATTTATTTTGTATTGGCACCACACAAAAATAATTTAAAAATGGTTACTACTAGGTTATTGAAGAATAGCTAAGATTAGGAGAGCTGTTGAATGAATGACAATGTGGTGCCATCTGCTGGCAATAGTAATGAAAGCTTTCTTTGAGTATCAAATCTAGACCATTAAATTTATAAATTGGTACAAAACCATAGCAATCACCTGAAAATATATCCTTGTAAAAGATCACGGATACAAGAACACATTTAAAAACTTATTTTAATGTATTTATATAAGTGAACATTTGATAGTTTTTCCCATCATTTGCTTCAATTCTATAGGAAATGCACAGAAATAAATATAACACATTGAACCACTTGAAACATATTTATCAAATCTTTCCAGGTCAATATTTTTAATCTGTTTTGGTCATCCCATTTTCCAGAATAGTACCTGTACATGAAGCATGTCAAACTCAAGAGCTAACACGGGCCAAATAAACAAGGTTTAAGTTTATGTGGGCCGCAAAAAAACAAAAGCTTCAATTTTCATAGAAACATAGCTCTATTTCAATAGAGACATGCTGAAAACAAAGGGCTGAAATAAATGAGTAATCATTTACATAAAATAATAGAACATTTTAATAAAAATTAATATTTTTTCTTGAACATTAACTTACCAAACACTGAATAACTGCACAAATTAATAAGCATAACGCAAATAAATCTATTTTTCTTGTTCTCCACAAGTGAAATATTTCCTGTTGTGTGTACCAAACAAGTTAGTCCAAGACTAATGACATGGCCATCGGCTGCTGAAATATTCGCTGCTAGTATTAGTGGAGAGAAATGGTGTGCCTGCGCATAAGGCATGTAAGGGAAATGGATGCAACACGATTATAGTAATCAGTCATTAGTGAATGTTGTAGGTCATTATTTATAATTATGTGTAATAGGATAGTGTAAAAATTAAGTTATGAAATTTTTATTAAAACGTTTCTTACATACCGTTATATTGGCTGGGCCACAAAAATATTCGTTGTGGGCCGCATGCAGCCCTTGGGCCGTGAGTTTGACATGCTTGCTGTAAATAATAGGTTCTCAAAAAATTTGTCCAATAACTGAATGAAGGCAAGGAACGGAGATGTAATTGGTGAAAAATATAAATAGAAAACAAGACTCTTTGAACTGGGGATTTTCTGGAGGCTCTTAGAAATTTGGTTCTAGGGAAGAGCCATTAAAAACCAAGTGAAGCCCTTGCTGGTTTGGCTTAGCGGATAGAGCATCAGCCTGTGGACCGAAGGGTCCCGGGTTTGATTCTGGTCAAGGGCACGTATCTCAGTTGCAGGCTCCTCCCCAGCCTGAGCCCTGGTTGGGGCTTGTGCAGAAGACAACCAATCGATGTGTTTCTCTCACATCAATGTTTCTGTCTTTCCCTCTCTCTTCCACTCTCTCTAAAAATCAATGGAAAAAATATCCTGGGGTGAGGATTAAGAAAAAGAACCAAATAAAGTTACTTTATAATGGAAGTGATAACAGAGGGGCTTTAGAAACTGAATTTCTAGCATGAGAAATGGAAAAATATGAAATAGTTATGATACAATGAAATGTGAGTAGATAATTACGATAAATAATATTAAACTTGGTCAAAATCAAGGTGGCTCTATAAGCAGTTACAGTAGTTTGTGTAGTTTTGAGAGCAATTCCAAAAGAGAAATTCCTAGAATTTTAGCATTTGGAAATAAGTGAGTTAACTGACATGAATCTCTTAGGTGCATCAGATATTGTTTTGCTTATATTAAAAGGAACAGTGCTACTTTCATCACACTTCATATTTCTTTGGACTAGACTTGATTTAAACCACTTACACAGTTCTGCTACATCACCTCCTAGATTGACAATTAGCTTAGGCTTTAAGGATTCTGTATACATTAACCACATCAAATAACTATCTGATGGATGAGAAAGAAAATTTTGAAATTCTAAACTGACACATGACTATTTTGCTATTGACTCACACATTTTTCAAATTATAGACACAACAGGGAAACAATTTTTCTGTTCACTAGTAAGAAGTCAGAAGACTAGAGTTTGGATCTGATTCTCCCACTAACCAGCTACCTACCCCATGACCAGATCCAGCCCCTCAGTGGATTTGATGGTTTCTATGTTACCTTCCAGCACTGATTTCTGTGATTTTATAATACATAGTTACTTTTCTATTAAATATTTCCAAATGACATCAACAATAATAAAGCTGTCTTGAAACTTAGAATTGATAGTGGATCTTATGCAATGATCTTCTGCAAAATTTTCCCAAGTGAAGTAAGCTCATGTTCATGATTGAATTTGTTAAGTCTGTCTGTTTACCTGTTGGGATGATTACAAGGGATCCAGTTCACTTGAGGGTCTGGGATATCTTCCAGGTATGGGTAGATAGATTCTCTATTGAAGTTCCAGCCATAAAGACCATCTTCTGGAGTCACAATAATATGTGCACCCTGTTAAACATGCAGCTTAATTAAAATATTTCTCAAATAAGCAAACAACCAAAAAGGGGCCTGCCTGCAAGAGGACCTGAGGAATTGAGTGGCTGACAAACCACCTTCAGGTGTATGTTTTTCCCTTTCAATCTTATTCCTTTGTTTTCTATACTCTTATAATTTATTTTCTTTGCCCAACCACTTGCATTTTCCAATCCTGACATCATCCTTTATTTATAACTAGAGGCCCAATGCCCGAAATTCGTGCAAGAGTAGGCCTTCCTTCCCCCAGCTGCTGGCACCAGCTTTCCTCTGGCACCTGGGACCTGGGCCTCCCTCGCAGTCCCAACTTCTTCTGGAAGGATGTCCGGTCTAATTAGCATATTACGCTTTTATTATTATAGATGTTTTTATTTTTTTTTTCTAAGCATGAATAGCTTTCCAGGCTACTCACAAGTTGACACCCATTGCAGTTGTTAACTATAAACCTAGCTCTTCCCCAAATCACCCCCTCCCTGAACTTAGACCAACTCTTGTACCTGAGTGTATGGAATTGATTTATAATTCAAATTCTTTTCCTCTGCTCCAGCCTTCCCTGTTGTATACCCTGCAAACATGATTCCTGCTTCTTAGGAGGGTGCCTAGAGGTACAACCTGGGCACCTTCGGGTGGGAGAGTCATCCTGGAAGCTGATTTTTGTATGTATAAGAATGTGTATTGATAGATATGTTATATGTATATATCCTTGACTTCCATGACATTTCACATATCTGTCTATACCTGAGTTATGAATATCTTATTTAAACCACATACTTAACCTTAAACCTTTCATTTAACTCAAGGACTTACTATGCATCATATACTAGTATACTTTTTACAAATTGGTAGTTACAGAATAGTCTCAAAGATGCAAATTATAGCATAGAGAATATAGTCAATGATATCATAATAACATGTATGGGAACTTGAAATATTGGGGGAGGTCACTCTGTAAAGAACATGATTTCCTAACAACTCTGCTGTACACCTGAAACTAATACAGAATAAAAAATAAAATAATAAAAAAACACATATACTTTTATCTAATTAAAATGAAATATGAAGTATATAATAGATAGCTTTATATGGATTGTATACATATATAAAACATACATTAGCATGTGTTAGTATTATGAAGTATGAAGTACCTTGTAATTAGAATGAAGTTTGAAGTATATAATACATACAGTTAAGTAGTTTGCAACTTAAGCTTGTTTTGGTGCTATAAACTAACCTAAAACCCTGCACACTCTTAAGAGAACAAAGTGCACCAAGGCCACTAATACTCTAAAAATAGCACATGACCCCTGACCCATTTATCCTCCACCCTCCATCTGTAGCAGAAAAGAGCAACAAAGTTGTTGAACTTACAGCAAGTTTCTCAAAGGAGTGCTGCCCCTGAATGATAACCAAGCTGTTCTTTCCATAAGTTTGTCTCACTATTAGGGAACTAATAATGTCTTTTTTCTAATAATTTGCGGAAAACAAAAGTTCTTGGCTACCCTGACATATATGTCTTCACCTACCTTAATGTTAGGGCAGTAATATTAACCATGCCCTGTTCTCTGTGATTGTTCTGTTCGGACAGAGAAAGCACATTCTAACCAGGCTGAGAGTAGTAAACCTTGGGACATGGGAGTTAATTTAGAAATGGAGCCCATTCTCCTTTTACTGAGAACTGCCTATCATCATGGAAAGATTAACAGCCTTATTGTGAAACAATGGGATCCCGGAAGCACCCCACCCCCTAGTCCACATTGCCAGTAATCTGTAATCATTTTACCCATTTTTATTCTATTTGCCTACTTCCCCACGCCTGTAACACCCAATTTTATTCCTTTTGCATACCCATTCTTATTCCTTTTGCCCACTTCCCCATGTAATCTTTGTCCTTCTACCCCATATAAGCAGCTGTTTTATGGAAGGGTGCAAAGCAGACTTTCGTGGATGATCTGCTGTTCTCCCACACTGCCGGCTTATTGTGGAATAAATGCTCATATGACTCAACCTGTTAGGGGCAAGAAAGGAATATTGGGGACTGGCTATGGTTGTGGGAAATAGTGATCATGCTCTGTTAGCCATGATTGCCTTGTGTTGGTTAAAGAAAGGACATTCTGACCTGGCTGGGAGTTGTAGGCTCTTGGGACCTGGGAGTCAGCCTTGGAATGCGGTCCATTCTCAGGGAAAGATTAACAACCTTGTTACCCAAACAATGGAGTCTCCCCCCCACACACACACACACACACAACCCCCCAGCTTCCTACATCCCCATGCCTATAGTCCAATTTCCCTGTGTAATTTTTGTCCTACCCTATATAAGCAGCTGGCCTATGGGGGGCGGCAGAGCAGATTTCTGGGAATGACCTGCTGCTCTCCCATACTGCCAGCAGTATTGGAATAAACAGTCCTTTTCTGAATCTCCGAGTGCATATGGTTTGTCGCTTCCCGCTCACCTGATTTCTGCCATAACAAAACCTGTCTGCTTAATTGGCTCAAGTAGTGACAGGCAGCCCGGACCCATTAGTTGTCCGGTTTCATTAACACATATGCAAATACGTACTCTGACACATATTTAATTGACCCTGGTAATTGACTCTGTCTCTTGGGACCCCACTCTCTACATAGAAGCCAGCACACTCAAGAGGAGGTACCTGTTTTGCTGCTGATGTGATGGCTCCCTCCAAAAGGTCCAGATTTCTGTTCATTAACCCCAATGCCAATTCACGGGACACTGGTGCGAGGGTGACATTCGGCAAAATCACTGCATGCTCATAAACAGCTGCAATGAAGGTGTCCAGGGAGCTGGCTTTTAAGACACAGAAAACTGAAATTGCCACACAAGTCAGCAGCTGAGAAGTCATCATGCTGAAGTCCAAGGACTGTTGAAAAACAGAGCAAGCCCTTGTTTATAGAGAGAAATTACAAGGAAGCACGTGGTTCTCAGAACTTAGTGCTTTAAAGACAAATCACAACATCTAGCTGTTACGGCCAAAGGTGATCCTGAGTTGGGAGTGGGGGGGGTGAAAGGATTGAGAAAAGACAGACAACAGAATGAAAGCTGGGTCTTGGTGGGACGCTGCTCCCTGATGAGGAGACAGCGCCAGCGCCCACAAGCCGTGTCTTTATTTTATAGCAGATGCCACGAGGCAAAGTAGGGGCGTGATCAAGTTGTTTACAGCATTCTCGTGAGTTTCAACCCTACTCAACTACATGCACCTGAACTCTATCACAAGGCACGTGGGTCCACGTGTTTGGACCATAGGTTCAAGCTTACAACCACAGCCGTTGGCTATAATTGTGCTGGGAGGGCCCTGCCCTCCAGCTGGGACTTGCACGTGGCAATGAGAGGACCCTGTCCTTTCATTAGTCCGAGGCTTGAACCTGGCCAAAACACTGTAGCCTCGCCCCATATCTAGCGTTAAAAAAACATGATGGCTTCACATCATAGACATAATGTAAGCACACTCTATAAAACACTCCTTATTGCACTCCTGAGGGCTGTGAGGACAGGATTACTCGGGCTTCTCGCTGTGTAGACAGCTGTCTTCTCCCCGTGTGTGTGCACCGGAGTCCAAATTTTCCGTTTGTAAAAACTCTGGTCATTGGATTTAGTGCCCAGCCCACTATAGAATGACTTCATCTTAACTACTTTCATCTAAAACTATCCTGTTTCCAAATAAGGTCACATTCTAAAGTACAGGTGGTTAGGACTTCCACATAGGAATTCTTAGAATTCATGTTTTAGAACTTTATAGGTGTAAATAATTTGAAGACTAAATTGCTTTGCAATTTTGATAGCAGTATCACTAGCAGAATATGAATGTCTAAATGCTACACTTTATTCACTTTAGTTTCCTCAAAATGGGGAAGCCAGGACAAAGAGGAATACAAAAGGGTCATTGCTATATAAAAATTGCCTTAAAATGTGGTGTCTTTGGACAGCAAACATGTCTGATCTCCTATTTCCTGTGCGTCCAGAATCTGGGGCGGTGTAGCTGGGTGCCTCTTTCGCGAGACTGCAATCAGGCTGGTGGCCTGGGCTGCAGTTATCTCAAAGCTCGGCTGGGAAGGATTCACTTCCTCGCTCCAGGCTCATATACATGGCTGATGGCAAGCCTCAGGTCCCCATTGACTGTTGCCCAGAGATGTGAGTTCCTTGCTTCAGGTCTTGGTCACACTTTTGTTTCTGGCTGCCCTAAGAGCCAGAGAGCAAGAGAACCCTCCCAGGATAGAAGCCGCAGTCTCTTAGTTAATCTAACGTGGAGTGTCACCTCATCACTTCAGTTGTATTGTATTCATTAAAAGCAAGTCAGTAGGTGGTCCAGCCCACACTTGACACAAGGTCATGCATGAATGAGGCAGAGATCATTGGGGACCATTTTAGAGGCTGCTGACCATAGGGTTAATAGGGAAGGAGAAACAATGACAGGGAGAATAAGAGTAAGAACTAAAGAGAGAAATAGAAGTAGTTGGAAGAGAGCATAATAGAAAATGGGGGGGGGCGGCTTAAAGATTTTGATATAGAATAAGTAGGCAAATTTTGTTTCAGTGCAAATTAAGTATAATATTTTTATATTTACAGAACTACTTATGCTTACCCATTTTATTTTTATATTTTATTTTGGATGGTGTTATTATAGTTCAGTTTGCAAATGGATATGTCTGAGTTTTTTGCTTCAGTGCTATAATAAATTTATTCTGTGGCTACCAAGGTAACCGAGAGGCTGTGACTGCTCCGCCCTCCTCAGTCTATGGCAAATCCTCGCTGCCTCTACTTGCTGACCTCCTTCTGGCTTTCCATTCCCAGGTGGTTGGGGATCCACATACTTCACAGTGAGATGTAATGTGTACATAAGAATTTATAGAAGGAAGTTCTGAAATAAAAGTTAAAACTGCCATGAGCTACAAAAAGATTTAAAAATTATTTGTTTGATGTTATTAAGTTAAAAATTATAGTAAGAAGCTCCCATTGGTATCCAGTCTGACATACAAAGAGCTTGAAAGTTGCCTCTCCCATTTTCACAACAAGAAAAAAGCTGAACTGAAAAATCAATCATTTTTCTTAGATCCAGCAGAGAACTGAGGTCACAAGACAAACCACGGCCCCAAAATTAGAGAGACAGGCTTACCTGGAGCAAAAGTCCACTTTTGGAGCCAGTACTGATGTTGACATAAAAATGTCCAAAGCTGTAGGGAATTTTTTCTGCGTTTATTTGAGCCAAAACTGAGGACAATTGCCAGGAAGCAAGATCTCAACTGACAGCTTTGTGATTTTCCTTTCACGCACTTGGAATTAAGGAGGGACTAAAAGGAAGATTACATGAAGGCAGGAGAGAGCAAGGCAGGGATTGGATTACAGGATAGTTAATGAGATCATGTGCTCTCTGGAGGGCGGTTTTACTTATGGCCTTCTGGGCATGTACTAGCCGAGTCTGAAAGGAGGCATTTCAAAGGTATGCTAACCTAGATTCACTGAAACAGTGGGCAGGTCTTGCTTAAGGTAGGGCGTGACTACTCACCAGGACCTGCCCCATTAGGAATTTAAGATCATCCTGGGAGGTTACTTTCCATAGAACCCCTTTTCATCCACAGTGGTATGACCACTTCAACTGTCCTTGATGAATTGCTAGAGGCTCAGTGTGGATAAATTTCAGAATTAAAAAACGAGGGGAATTTAGTGTTAGGAAAACGCTCACACTTTTGTGAGTTTTACCTCCAGAACACCAACAGATTCTCTGGGCAAACAATTGAGGAAAACAAAACAAAACACCTCTGGCCTCATACTTCCTAAAGGAAGAGAAATAAACCCACTTGGAAATAAGCCCTTGAGGAGGAAACTGGTCTTTGCAAGGCCTGTCAGGCATAAAACTGTGAAC